GATAATGCCTCAGTGAATTTGAAAAAATCACAGTTTATTTACAGAATTGAGTCTGCACAATGTTGGTTGCGATATGTTCCTAATACCCGCCATCTATAGAATTTTAAAATTTTACAAACCCTTAAAAAAATACTTTTTAAATAAAGATTTTAAAAGCTGTCCTAAAATTTTGAAAAATTTTTTCAAGTATGAAATGGCATAAGCATATTTGGGATTAGTTTCACATGTTGGAAATCTACTTCATGCAGTTAATATTCAGTTGCAATCAGAATATTCTTTATTAATAAAGATTCACGAAATCAACAGCTCTGTTCATCTCTACAGTTAAAAATTGATAATAAATTGCTCATTTTTGTTCTACCACAAGTAAGGTTTGCACTTATATTGGAGTCGTTAAATATCATGGGAAAAAGATTCGACCCACATTGTGATGATATAGCTCTGTGAATGTTGAACTACATGATAGGTGTATACGATTTCCGCAACTGTATTTGCATCTGTATTATTTATTATTTTTGGAGAATATTTTTGTATTGCAAATGCAATCGATGTTGAACTCCCCTGTACTGACTTATATGAATAATGATGTTGATTTATTATTGGATAAAAATAAAACAGGATAGAAAGATATTTACAAACTAGACATGTTTTTCGAGTAAATAAAATTTATTTTAAAAATATAAAAATAATCAATTACTGTCTCTCAAAATTATTATTTATATTTTAAAAACGTTAAATAACTTTTAAAAAAAAGTGCGGGAGAAATTAAAAAATTGCGGTAGATTTTTGTGGGAGATTTTCAATTGCGATAGTTTTACGGGAGAGAGATGTCTGCGTGTAAACTAAAAAATTGCTGGAGTCTCCCGCTGATGGGGGGAGACATGGCAACCCTGCCTAATATTGATAAATGGATGTCAAAATTGTGATATTTTGTTCAATAACACAATAAATTTACATATGTTGAGTTTTATTTTAAGTACCTAACACTGTTGCTTAGCCATTTTATACTGAATATAGGGTAAAAATGGAAAAAATGGCACTATATATGTGATCATTATTCTTATAGTATTATAGTTATAAGGCTATTCTTTTATTATTTTATAGATGAGGAATTTGGCTACATTTAAATATATAATTTTTTTTAATTTTATTGCCAAAATAGCAAAATAAAAATACCAATCATTTTATCCAGGTCTCCCTTATAAAAAACCATCTTGGTATATAATTTCAAAAAATAGTTAAGTAAGTAAAAGGAGGGGCAAAAGGAAAAGAAATTGATGACTGACGCTGAGTGATTTCTCTTTCATAACCCTAACCCTAACCCATACGATAAATACATTATTTATACATTAAAATTTGGTTTTTTAAAATTATAAATAAAAAATACATTAAAAAATAACCTAAATTTATAAAAAGAGTTTTATTGACGGCTGAGACTGACTCAATAAAATAATTTTTATATTCAATTTTTTCTAACATTAATTTTTGAATTTTTTAAAAATATAACATGGAAATAAAAATTTAAATAAAACTAAAAGGAAACGGAAAAACAGAGATATAAAAATTTTATTTATATTTTATTTATATAGAATGCTTCCGATTAAAAAAAAATATTCTCAAAGATATACTAAAGGAATATTTTCTAATATATTCTTCTTTAAATTTAGCGACCATGTGTGATAAAAGGATGAAGTCGATACTATGTAAGGAAAATTATTTAATATATTTTTCTAGGAAATCCTAAAAGTAATCCTTTCCGCATCCAATAATAAAAGCAGATAATTCTTATAGTGATTAGTTCTTCAATGATAGAAATTTTCAAAAAATTAAGATCGATAAATTAAAATTAATTTAAATATTTAAATAGCTAAGTAAAGAATAATTAATTATTTTTTATGCTTTCGAATGTATAGTAGGGCTGATTGCTGTTAACAATTTACTTTAAAATAGTCAATAATTAGTGTTTCAATATTTTACTAGATCCTATATGTCATTCTCTACATATAAAAATAATAACTCGATCAGTGGTGGGATAACCGTCCAAAATTAGACTTCAAATTATGCATGAATTAAAAATAAGATAATTTCTTTCAAAATTGATACATCTGCTATATATAATAGATCAATATTAGGTATTAATGTTAGATGGTCAGATTCAAGTGCGAACATTAAGAATTTTAAAACTATCGAGATTCATATAGGCGTTAACCTAAAGAAAATCCAAACAATTTTTAAAAAATTATCACAGTGGAAAACAGGGCCAATATGTTTAAAATGGTTGACATTATGGCTAGAGATCAATTAAATAATGATAATGATTTACCTATTTCTAATAAAAACAATTTGAGCCAAATATATTTTAATACAAGTGTAAGCGATCAGGAAAATTTATGTATTGATGATGATAAAAGCATATCAGTTTAATCTTATGAAGAAATACAGAGGGGCCATTCCACGTCAAATCGATAAAGATTCAGCCGACCTCTTTTAAAATTATTAAAAATTTCTGGAATTATTTAGATAGTTAAGAAAATGAGAAAGCCGTTTATTTTAGCTCGCACCTGGTTTTTGAGATATAGGGGCTCAAAGGTGCAAAAAAGAGCCACTTTGGAATCTCTAAAATTTTTAAAATGCTTATAACTCAAAAACTATTTATAGTAAATATAATATATCAAATTGTAGGTAAATAAAATCTCTAAATAGCTATCAAAAAAAAAAATTAGCGCCAATTTGAGCCTTTAACTTTTGGTTTACTTATTTTGCTATACCTGTGTTTTTAAGCAAAAAAAGGAGTTTTTCGAAATTTTTTTTTGCTTTTTATTTAGACACCTTTGCTAAATATATATACCATATCAAAACCTTGGCGACGCTATCGACTCCAAAAAATGATGAAAAAAATAGATGGCGCTTTATGTACAGATTATGGTTAAAATAAAATTTGGCTGCTAACTTATCAATACCGGATTTTTTCACTTTTTTTACTAAAAAATTTTGAATTTCTATTAAATATACTAATTAAACAAAGGAGCAGAGTGAACATATCATTAGACACTTAATAATGTAACAAATTTCCATAAATATCTTTCATATAATTTTTTTAATTTTTGAAGTATCTAGAAATTCATCGAACTTTTTATTATTTGATGAAGATAATGTTATAATTTTACTCTAGATATTATTTTCTTCGAATATTTCTTTTCACATAAGCGTTTTCTTTTAATGAGAGATTCCCCATTTGATTGTAGGGACATATTAATGTTATCAATAGCCTCTTGATTATTTATATGAGGGGGTGAATCAATATCTACATTGTCATTTGAAGTATAAGGAATGTTTACTAATTTTTTGTCGGCATGAAGAGTATATTAACATATCTAAATTGAATGGTAAATTTTTTTGGGTCATCCAGGGTAGAATTTTTCTTAGATTCTTGCTATAATATGCATGTCTCTGTAGATTAAATGGGTTGCAACATTTTAATATTTGGTACGTCCATCTGTGATATAGAATAAAATTTTAATTGTTCTGCACCTAAAATATATGATTTTACACTCTCCAAATCCAGAATGTCATTGGTGGACTGACTATAAAATGATAAGCTACAGACGGGTTGTAATATTTAAAATTAATCTGAACGGACAAGTTAAAAATATTTCGTAGAAAAAGAGAACGTTTTAAACAGTTTATTTTGTAAAATATAATCGATAATATGCCTAATAACTCCCTTTTTTGCTTAAAAATACAGGTGAAGCAAGTTAGGTAAACCGAAAGCTAAAGACTGAAATTCGCGTCAATTTTTATTATTTTTTTAAAAGCCCTTTAGAGATTTTTTTTACCTACAATATGATATATTATACATTTTTTTACTATAAATAGTTTTTGAGATATAAGCATTTTAAAAATTTTACAGATTCCAAAGTGGCTCTTTTTCGCACGTTTGAACCCCTATATTTCGAGAACCAGGTGTGCTAGCGAGTTAAAATAAACGGCTTTCTCATTATATACCTATCTAAATAATTCCAGAAATTTTAACAATTTTAAAATGGGTCAGCCGAAAATGTGCCTTTTTTTATCGATTTGACATGGAATGGCTCAGAGGGATTATGGTGATAAGTAAAATATATTAACCGACATTAATAAAGGCTTTGATCTACATCTAAGTAGTGTTATATGTTTAGCTCATAAGATACCCCTTGCTGTAAATAGCTTTATTAAAAAATATTTAAAATTAGATTTAGATAAAGTTTGTAATATTATAAAATTACTTGTTCTAAATGCAATTAAGTACTCAATTAATCTAAACTATAAAACCAGTAAATGTATTTATTAAATTAATCAAATTACAACTTTATAACAATTTACATTCCATTTATATTATTTAATATTTGAATATCAAAATAGCAATTTATCTTTGCCTACAAAAATAATCATAACTCTACATTTGAATATAAAAACAACCTTCTTTTTTTTCAATTCAAACATAAAAATACATATTCAAATTTTACTTTTATCACTACTTCCAACATCCCTTACCCTAGATACCTCCATCTAGGGAACTTGTTGCGATACTCCTGCATTCAATAATCTGGGTGCCTCATTTTATAACTTCATCGTCTCATTGCACCGTCAAGACTTGTTATGGAAAATATCTGATCAGATGATCTCCCTCACAAGCCCAGCACCGTTGTTCTTTGCCAATCTTGACCAGTATCTTGAAATTATGGATCCATCTATTGGCCTTATTTTTATACGTATGATAGGTTTAGTTAAAGGTGACTATTCTAATTTTTAACTATACATATCCAAAATTTGATATTTATTTAAAAAAGTTTAATTATTTTATTAGAATATTACAATGCAAAATTTGTAAGCTTTACTAATATTTTTTAATTTTTCTTCTTAAATTTTTTAAATCAAAATAAGAATAAACCAAAAATTTATTTATTTCCCATCTGATTTAGTTGATTTGTTTATTATACCTCGTGGAATAAGAACAAATCCTTTTATTAATTTCAGTTACAAAAGCTAAATTCAAAATTCTGAAATTAGTTGTGTGAAAAAGTAGTCATAATTTCCCAGTGAACATAGATGAATTATATTGGATATAATATTTATTAATACGTAAATCTAAACTAAATGACATTAATTATAATTTTTACAGATTATGACTGAGCTTATTTATTCACATTTTCAAGATCCTAATTCTAGCAGATATGAAAAAAGCTTGGGATTACTTACAACTAAGTTTGTTAATTTGCTACAGGAAGCTAAAGATGGAATATTAGATTTAAAATCAGTATAATAGTAAACATTTATTGAATTTACAATATTTTTTTTATAAGGCTGCTGATATATTATCTGTTAGACAAAAAAGAAGAATATATGATATAACTAACGTCTTAGAAGGAATAGGGCTTATTGAAAAGCGTTCTAAAAACAGTATTCAATGGAAGTTAGTAAATATGTTATTATAATATAATTTTTTTTAAAAAAATCAGAGGAGGTGGTCCTGGTTCAGATAATCCTGAAGTTTTTCAAAAACTTCAAAATTTAAAAAATGAAATAATTAATATAAATATATGTGAGAACAACTTAGACAATTTGATAAAAATGGCAAAACAAAATATAACTAATATTGTTGAAGATGATGAAAACAAAAAATATCCTTTTTTTATAATTTATATCTTATGCATAATATTTAAATATATTATATCATTTTTACTAAAATAAAATTTAAATGACAGCCTTAACTCATTTTTTTTATTTTTAAACATATTTATATATAAAACCAGAAGAAATATTTAATTTTTATACAGAGGACAACATGTTAATGTTTTTAAAACACCCTATGGATGCAGTCATCCAGATTACACCTAATCAAATGGTAATTTTTTTTATATCTACATATATATATTTTCTTATTAAAATATAAAAAAATGCTTTTGAATATTTATCATTTATTTTAATGTCATTTGCTCAAATCATATATGGTACAAATTATCTCTTATCTTATATTCATTTAAAAAATAAAAATTTTTATGTGATCCAACATATAAAAAAATATTTTGATTTTTGAATAAAAAAATGAAGATTATTTTTTTTGATTTCATGTACATATTTTTTTACACATAAAATTTTTTTTTTGGAATTTTGAGCCTAATTAGTTTAAAATGGCAAATGGGTATTTTCAAAAAAAAAAATCTTGACCTTATCAAAATTTTGTGTGAAAAAATCTTTAGACCCTCAAAGAAATTTATTTTGCTAGATTTTGTTTCAAATCAACATACTAAAAATTTTATCATCATTTTTTTCTCTAATATAGGACAACTCACAATTATCCATTAAAAGTGCCTCCAAACCAATCACAGTTTTGATAGCTGATTCGAAAGCTATTAAAAGCTATAAAAATGCACATTTAACTCTCAACAATAAATGTGTTAAAAAACAAAATCCTGAACCTAATATAGAGCAAAAAGTTGGGATAGAAACATGTTATGATATTACCAATTCAGTCAAGAGAATCAAAACTCTCGATGATTGTAGTTACACTAATTCAGATGAAAAAATGCAAATCTTACAAAATACCTCACTCTCTATACCCCAAATCAATGCAAATGATGAAAATCTTAAGGAGTTACATGAGTTTAATATTTTTATTTATTTTAATCGTTTTTTTTTGAATTATCTTATGATTTAATTTACAATAATATTATATATATAATGTTATATGGATTTTGAAATCCATGGGAATGATATCTCTATTATAAGACATTTAACTGAGAGAGATTTTTAAATTTGAAAAATTTGATCCTACCCTATGGCCAGACTTACCAGGTCTCCCCCTATCAGTGGGAGATTCCCAGTCAACCTCAACATACAGAGATATCTCACAATTTTGAACATTTTAACGATTTACTTTTATATAATAAATAAAATAACTAAACTGCAAAGAAGTAGAAATAAAAACTTTAAAAATAATGATAAAATATTATAAAACGATACTATCATGTTTGATAAAATAAAAATTATAGGAATTAATGAGGGAGACCAAAACAGCCCCAAATTTTTTTTTTGCAATTTTCAAAAATTGATCTGGTAACCCTGTCGTTGACCTTCACAATTTAATAATTTTTGTTTATATGTAGTTCAAAATTTCATAGGAAAATTTTCAATAATTCACAAGGTATATATGCATGTTTGATACACAGTAAAATCAGATTTTTCAAAATTTAGAGTTCACTTAATAAATCTCTTAAAAATCATTAGAATACAAATCCCAAATCTCCATACAACACATATATATATAGGGCTTAGACTAAGCAGAAAATATAAGTTAAACAAGTGCAAAATTTAAAACCAAACCTACAAAATATGATAAATGTTTATAATTTTGGCAAATGGAGATAAGTTTGAGGTTTAAATTAATATTTTGGTTGTTCTTTATAAAATATCATTTATTTAAAAATAACATAGATATCAATAATGTTGTTCAAATTTAATTTTATAGTTTGTCATTTTTGGGACGAATATGATCTCAAAATAGGCATTAAATATTAATTTTTAAATTGAATTCACTCTACTTCTCAAACCAAGCCATGCTAAATCAAGGCACTAACTTGATATAATTTTTTTGACATGTTGTGACATTCATATTATTTATTAGATCCTCAACTACTTCTTCCTCCATTTTGGAACATAATATGGCCACAAGAAGTAAAACGGGTAAAAGTCCAGCACGATCAATATATATGAAGATTAATCCAGTAATCATTTTGTCTTCCTCATAAATATTTTATAAAATTGCCATCTTCATCTATTACTTTTCAAAAAAGGGATCATTTTATCAGAGAAAAGAAATGCTGAAATCCTTATCTAAATTTAATGTTATTAAAATTATATTGAGTTTTCAAAGTTTGGAGAAAAAAATGTTTAAATTTTAATCAAATTTTAATGTATCAAGTTAGGCTTTCATATTGTAGTATGACTAGATTTTATTAAACCATTTTTTTCGTTATAAATTATCCCTGAACACATATTTCCTAATCTTTTTAAATTTAAATTCTAACACATATCTTTACTAATATTTTAATTTCAACTAACTTTAATTCCTCTTTATCAAATTTAAAAGCCAAATCAAGCAAGTTTAATTTTTTTTATAAATAATAATTGCTTCCCTGATCACCATTTTTTTTCTATATGTACGGCAAGAAAACTGTAAAAAATTCTTATTTTATACCCAATTGTTACTTTTTTTGCAAGGAAAGGTCTTTCGAAGAATAACGAAAATGTTGGATGATAAATTAAATAGTTTTTGATAATAAATTTTTTTATGCAAGGCAAGAAATATCGTAGACAACTAATATTTTTCAAATAATGGCCATAATCTTAGATTACGAAATAATTTTATTTGCTTCGATCATATAAATGGCCTAATCTGTAACCTCACAAAAGTTTTTTAATTCTTATATAAATTTTTCGATATTATTGATTTTAATTATATATTATCCCCCCCCTTCTCGATTTGATAAGTCAAACTCGTCAACAACTACTTTCCAAACACCGACTCGCAATTCGGTTAAATCTCTTAATAGCAATCTTAAATCGAATCCCAATAACACAAATATATTTTCCCCTAAACTGAACGTCAGCTTAAATAGCAGTTTTATACTCAATGAATTAGATGAGACCCTGTTACTCTCTGGTTTATATCCCAAAAGTTTGTACACATGTTATTACCATTAAAATGCATTATAAAATGATATCTCATTTCAAAATTATAAAGTTGATATATAACAATTAAAAGTTGGAGATATAAAATAATATGGAAAAATTTGGCAACTAACAAAAACTTTACTATGCCAGCAACACTCTTGAATCACTTTTTTTTCAATATACATTTTTCTCGTCGGCTCTAGCTATAGGTAAGGAGGCCTAAGCTTGCGGATAATTGTTTTAGCTTTTCTATTGGTAAGAATAAAGATTTTTTAACTGCTTATTTTTAAAGATCCATTCATTATCTCTACGTTAATTTTTGAATTTATCAACTGAATTAAGAATAATTAGGGCATTTGAAGAAAAACTTTATTTCAAATATAAAAAGAAATAAACCTTATTTTTTCGGTATATATGTTTGAATAATTAAATCGTTGCATATCAATTTTATAATTTTGAAATAGGATTTCCTTTTGTAAATGTTTATTATACGAGAGAAATAATGAGATTAGTTAATATCCTTAATATTTTATATCAGAGATGCTGATCTGATAATTTATATGACTGATAATCGCAGTATCGGCCTTTATCTTTAATCATAAACTAACACTATCCTTAGTTGGATCTTTAACATATGTTTCATTTAAATACACCCCAACCTGCCATTTTATTTTACTCCCTTCCCAAATACTTTCAATTAAGATAAAAAGATCTAAATTCTAAATATTAATGGTGGCAATTAGTGTTGTTAAAGGGCTTGATTTGAGCCGATTTTTAGAAATAGCCAACTCAATATTTTATCTAGAAAAATATTACGCAAGTCTGAAGATTTTATTGATAGATGGCATAAATGTCAAGACATCTATTAGCGAAATCTCGAGGGTTGGACAAATTTTCTAGTTAAAATATTGAGTTAGCCATTTTAAAAAATTCAAAACGAGCCATTTTACAACACTTGGTGACATTCTCACCTTTTTCAGGAACTTAAAATGATCGATTATTATAGTTAACCTATGATATATAATTTATATTTTAAAAAAATAATATTTTCTTTAGTTGAAGAGCATTGCAATGAAGACTTATTCGCAACAGCTGACAGTAATCTTAATTATTTATGTTATTTTAAGCTCATTTCTTTTTCAACTACATGTTAAAAGAAAGAAATTTAGGATAGATTTTTTGAATTTAAAACATATAAAAGTGTTAAATTTTCGTTTTTTTGATATTTTTTAACGAATAATATTATATTTCTTAACTTATGAAGCATATTCTCCCCTCCTAAAGTTAAGCCCACCTTTAACCGAAAAGGAATATTTATTCAACTTAGATGAAACAGAAGGTGTTTGCGATTTTTTTGATATACATTTGATGACTTGAAATAAACAAATCATCGATCCTTGAAGTAGTTCGCCTCTACACATTTAAACAATTATAACCTCTTTTGATAAATTGATATATTATTTCCCTCGCGTTAAATTATTTATTGAATTCTATTTCTCCATTAAATAACTAATATAATCATCAGCTAATGAGATAATAACCGATTATCTTAATTTAGGTCTCTTTAGAAGAATATTTTTTTATATAACATATTCTTCTCAAAATCAATGATTTTTTTTAAAAATCAATATTATACTAAAGTATTATGTTTATAAATTTTCGCATAAAATAATGTAATACATGTTAAGATTTACGAGGTACTAATTTCATAATGTTATATTATTCCATTATCTTATGATTTCATTAATACCACCTATTATTATAATACTTCTCTTTTTTTAAAAGAAAAATGTCTATTTATTTTTCAATATATCAATTGCATACTTTTAAATTAATGAAGAACCTAAAAATAAACGTTATTTATATTCCCATAGAAAAATATTGATTTATGACGAGGTATATTATTTATCATATAAGAGTATTTACTATTTGGCGATTTACATTAAAATATATTTCAAAATAGCAACCTAATAATAAAAAAAATGATTGTTTTTCTTTTTATAAAGGAATTTTAATCACAGTCTTTTCAGATGATAAAATATAAAGTCATATTAACTAGTTGCATAGATAGTTTTTTTTTGGGATTAGTAAAATTAATTACAAATCGCAAAACGCGCTTTTAATTTTAATAACCACCTTTGAGAATCGGTTCGGAATCACTGAAAAATAAGCGCTTTTTTCTATTCGCACTATTAGGAGATAGGATAGATTTTCTAATTTCCATATGTTTATGAACATTTATCACTATACCGTCATCTTGCTCATAGGTATTATTTGTATGAATTTCGGGGTTATTGTCATTAGCCCTTTTTTGGTGTTCTTTCATCATTTGTTCTATCACTAAAAAAGCGTTTTCCCTCGTGGGTTCCCTGGCATCCTTAAGGACATTGATTTTATTTTTTTCTAAATTGTTGCCGATTTGGGATTTATCGGAATGGCGTTCTCTTATAGGGCAATGCGATTTTAGGTAAGGGTCGTGAGAACCGAATCCAAACAGAGTTAACAAAAGACCTACACCATAACCAGTGGCTCGTTCACCCTTTTAAAGACGCGTTTAAGTAAATTGAAATTATATTTTAACTTATCTATCACTAATCTCCCTTCAACATTAATGAAAATAAATCATCCGCCATAGTATTATTATTAAAAATTTAAAAAAAGAAAAATTAGTAAATTGGCTTAAGATGTTTATTACCGAGTGCACTGGGTAGGCCATATCAACATGCAGCCATACACCAGGAAAATCGAATCCATTTTTAAGGTGTGATGCTATGAATAAACTAGCGCAAGAAGCTTGGGCATTACTTCGGTCCTTAAAAAAATACATTTACGTTAATTTATTTTTTTTATTATAGAAGTGTGTCAAGAAAACTGATAAAAAGATCGTGAAAAACGATACTTACAGCTACAGAATTTTTCATATCGGCTAAGGAGCTCGAGAATTCTGAGAAATGCAATTCTGGACAATAAGGCAAAGGGTATACCAAATCACCGCTTGATTTACCGGCGTCAACACAATAATTTTCCCTATTCATAAATAAAATGCATTCAATTTTTAAGGAATACTTGAAAAGTAAATAATTTTGTACAGCATAATCTTATAACTATTCAATTATTAACCAAAAAATCGATTTTAAAGACTAACCTGCAATGGTTCAGTCTAAATCGGAAAACTGGACAGTTGACCTTCACTAATTAAGCTTTAAAATCGAAAATAATATTTATTGATAAATTAGCCTTCAACCAAAAATATTACCCTTATAATTTCTTGCCTATTCTTCGATTAGTATTAAACGGCTTGATTTAGTTGATTTTAGCCAAAATAATATAAGGCAAGCTTAGAGATTTCGTTTATATTGTCCAAACCTTTCTGTCATCTATGAGCAAAATCTCCAGACTTGTGTAATATTTTTTGGCTAAAATATTGGGTTAGCCAGATCGGTTCCTATCTTTTATTAGCAAATCAATTCAAGATTTATACTATATTTAAGATGATGAAATTTACTATCAGCTGCATTTTGATTATTTATAAGTAATAAAACCTTTTGAGCCCGGCAAGGGCCATATATTTATTTTATTTAAAATATACCTGGGCCTAAAAAAATTTTTTTTTAAAATACCCGGGCCAGGCCGAATATTTTAAAGGGTCATTATTATCTATAATAAAAATTGTGTATGGTAGAACAATATATCCATTCACTTGTCATTAGAAGATATTTCTAGTAAGTAAAATTTTACTAATCATTATTTTGGGTGATATTCAATGACAATACATCTTTTTAAGAGTAAAATTTATCTTAGATAAGTGTCATTTAATCTCCTTTTCTCTGTCCCAAAATCGGGCAATTACGCATGTAGCCAGGGAGGGCTATAAAGACTATATTAAATTACAAGAAGGGAATTAACATCAATCAGCCGAATTCAAAATGTAGTAATTCAAACTTATTGGTTTTATGACAAATGGGGAAATAAGATAATTAGAAAAGTGATTATATATGTATTTCATATTCGCTGAAATCGAAAAATGCCCCGCTGAAATCAAAAAATGCCCAATAGTTATGTTTTAATTTTTTTTTAAAACCAAGGCCAATAGAAAAAATTTAGACACCCTTGACCGAAATTTTTATTTTCGAGATCCAGCAGGAAATTTATTTTTTAAAAAAACCCAGGCTGGCCTGAAAATATAAAACCATGGCCTGGCCGAAATTTTTTTTTCAAATTTGAGGAGGAACGATGGTACCTCTGTAGGCTTTTGATCCATATTAACAGAAATGAGAAGGGGGAAAAATAAAACAATCTATTAAAAACATTCATTTACAAATATAGGATTTTAATGGTAAACTTTAGTATTCTCTATCGCTCATATACCTCATAGAATGTTAAATTTATTTTTTTTACTTACTTTGTTTACTTGTATCTCTCTCTAAGTAATGATTTTTTTTTATCTTCCGCTAAAAAAATGAATAAAATCAACCGTACCATGTAGAATTATTAGTGATCAATGCGGCGTGATATTTTCCTGTAGCTATCCCCTGAGCACCCGTTAAAGTGGCCATATCCAAAATAATATCACAGTTTAAATCATTACTGGCGTAGGAAACCTTTTTATTTTAATGGTAAGAAGAAAAAAAAGAAGAAATTATAGGAATAATTTTATCAAAAGGTTTAACAGTTTTATAATAGTACTGATGTGATTTTTGTTATTTGAGAACTATTTTTTGTGGGAAAGTAAAATATAAAATAAAATAATGGTGCAAAGAAAGAAATATAGCCTTACGGGAAAAAGAAGCACAAACAGCGTTAATAGAAATTGAAAGGAGTATAGGGTCTCTACCTTAGAAACAGTGTTAACTAGTTTGCGAAAAATAGGGTCTAAATTAGAAATTATGTCTATAATAGAGCGATAAATGCTAATGATCGCTTACACTGTTAATAAGCTAGGTTGTCTGAGAAAAGGCAATTGAGAGGTTATCTATAGATGAATATATACATAATTAATTAAAGGAAATGTGGAAGAATACCTAAGAATGGATGGGGTTTTACTTTTAAATTCTTATTCGTATAGGATAAGTGTTTAGGTGTAAAAATAAGAAATTAGACTAGTCCCAAACGAAGCTCTTCTGAATAAAGGAATCGTATTCAGGAAACTTAAATTGAAGAAATAATTCGTTACAAAATTCTATGATATGCCAAAAATTCCACTTAAGTGACGTGAGGAGGTCGGTATTTAATTAGTATGAAAGAAGGAACTAATACTAAGCCGGTAGATTATGGCATATGTGTAACGTTTTATCCAAAGGTTGTTGATGTACGTAACATTTTGAAGTACTGACTCGTATTAAACCTTCGAAAACAATTTTCCAAATTTGATATATTTCACTAGTTGCATCACTATAAACAACTCAGTTTATTTTTAAAAAGATATCGGATCCCAAAATTTTTGAACATGGCAGAAAATAATCCCTTGATGAGTAAATCTCCAACCGAGATTATATTTGCGTTACCACTTTTACCATAAATATCAATAGTAACACACTTACCCCAGCAGAAATAAAAAAAATAAACAAATACAAAACACCGACCAACTTGATCTTTAACCCAATAGCGACATCTACCAATGAACAATTTGTCCCTAAAATAATCAATTTTTTTTAAACTGAAAAAAAACTGGTTCATAAAATCTGACTCTACCAAACATTAGAGGTCAAAGAATTTCTATTTTTCAGGCAAAAATATACAAATCAAAATTTTTAAATATTATTTAGCCTTTTTGGGAACTCAATTATTGTTTTACTTAATTAAGCACCCCCCCCCCCTTTCCTGTTTTTTTAAAGAACAATATTTGTAATTTATTTTTTTAGGATTTTTTAAAATTTTATACTGCAGCTCTCCCCTCGTGAACTACAAACATTGCTGATTGGTTTCACAACATATTTAACAATTATCAAATAATTTAAAAATCCTATTAAAAAAAAAATTAATAAAGAATATGAAAATAAAATCAAAGGGAAGGGAAGGATTTAAATTTTATTTCATTTTAAAATAATGTTTAACATTTTAAACATAAAATCAGAGACCTGCAAAGGTACCATTTACACGGACTGGCCCAGATCTTTTAAAAAAATATTTTTTGTGGCCCGGACCGGGTTTTATATTTTCAAGTCCGGCCAGATTTTTCAAAAATATATTGCATATATTTTTAATTTTTATCGCTAATAATGGCGATTAAATATATTGGCTTTTAAAATATAAGGCCCGGTCCGGATACTTAATAAAAAAAAATTTAAGTCCAGCCCGGGTATATTTAAAAAATACAGTTCCGCTCGTGTAACCGGGCCGGGTTTAAGGAAGGGCCTGCAGGTCTCTGCATAAAATACTAGTTTTGGCCTTAAGATCAATTCAAACCACGCTGAGCCTAACATTAGATTAGATTGATTATATATCTCATTTATAATAAATATTAATTTAATCATATAAATTACCCCATCAGCCAGTACTAATCTACCTTCGGCATCTGTATTATTGATTTCGACCGTCCTAAAATAATATTCGTAAATAACAGAAAAAAAATAAATAATATAATTAATAAACTTTTTTTTAAAAATATATCAACTCATATTAGTCGGTCATCCATCCCCCCTTTCCTTTTTAATATTTTTAATAACAAACTTATAGTAGCATGCTAGATTTGATGACTTTAACTTTCGTAAGATTTAAATGCTATTTAGGATAAAATCTTGTAGATAAAAGAAAGAAATTGGGTTATTTATGTTCTTTTACATAATCATAACTCCAAAACCTGTAAAATCTCTAAATTATATATATAAATATATACTTAACTTAATCAAAGATCTACTAAATTTATATTTAAAAAAAGGAAACAAGTACCCGATTACCTTTTGTTTTATACAAACTTCAAATTTCTAACTTACAGTATTTGCAACTAATATATATTTTTTTGTTAATTAAACTTTCAAAGAGCATTTAATAAGCTACCGAAATATATCTGAATGAATATTATAGCTTATCAAATTTCAAAATTCTCCATTTTGAGAGCCCATAGGCTCCTTAGTGAATTTGAAATCTATCACATTTTTCCTATTTATTAAAGGTACTATTTCGATGCATCATCAGTAAAATAAAAGCTCGGAGCATACTTACGAAAAATATTCATGTTTTATTTTTATATTAGATAAGGTGTTTATTTCTTCATTGGGAATTCTTAACGTACATAGATATTTTACTTCCTGCTCCATTCAGTTAATTTCATAAATATTTTATAAAAATCAATAATTTTTCCCAAAAGTTATATACATATATAAATACCTAGTAAGCTCCGATATTCAAATATATTTCACAAATTAAAAGCTTTATATCACTTAAAATAGAATATAAAAAGCCTTTATTCAAATTAATTATACTTACTTTAATTAATAAAAATAATATTATAAAAAATTAAAGGAAAATATTTGAGTATTATTTTTTTTATAGTTTGAAAATTAACAATTGTAAATAATAAATTAAGAACGTACTAATTGGAGTTTGTATAATAGGCAAATCGTCGAATAAATTCGATAGTAATTTAAAAAAGTTAAAGCAAAATGTGCTATGTATTTATATTTTATTAAAAAATTACTTTCCAGAATACATAGTGTGAATATCATCAGGTCTAGTAGCATTCGGTCCGACAGAATTTTCCGCCAAGCAGAATACGGCGTGAAGCGTGTGGGAAAATCCCTGAGTGTAATTATTTTAAACGAGAATTATAATATTTAAGTAGGTAAAATATGGCAAAAATCGTTAAGTCGATATTATATGGCTGGCGGTAAAATAATTTATTTAAAATTTCAAATTGGTAAAGCATGTTATGTAATTTTTCTTTTTTGATAAATTTTTTGGTTATCTTAAACGGTTTGATTTAACCAATTTTTAATTGATTTTAGAAAAATAATATCACGCTTGAAATTTCGTTAATAGATGTACTCCAAACCTTCCATCTATGAGCAAAATCTATAGGGCTACGTAATATTTTTGGGTGGCTAACATATTGAATGGGTTAGCCATTTAACAACATTAAGATTTTATTTATTTTTAAATTGAGCCAAATTTGTTTAGAGGAATGAAGAGAGGTAAGAACTCGATAATTAATATATTCCTTATCATTAAAATATAATAATTTTTTGGTTATTGAACATTATTAGAAAAATTTAGTCACTAAGTTAAAAAAAAATTTTCAAAAAAAAAATCAATAATTACCAATTTTACGCAAGAATAAAAGGCTCCTAAAATAGCCGCCGCACCGCCGCAATCCCTCTTCATGCCAAGCATTGCCGACTGAAAATAATTATTAAATAATTTAATTATAAAAACGACGATAAATCTATCCTTATTCTATCTTCCTCTTCTCACCCCCCCCCCCCCCTCCTCCCCTCTCTCAAAGTTGTTTTTCTTTTTTTTAAAAAAAAGAAGTGATCAAACTTTTCCTTTGATAGACAAACCCCCGGTGTCGTAAACTATCCCTTTACCGACCCAAGCTATATTGAATTCGCTATTAGGTGGTTCGTGACTCAGAATAACGAGGGCGGGAGGATTTACTGCCGCTTTGCCTACACCGTATATCCCTTTCGTTTTTTTCAGAGGTAATAAGGGGGAGGGGGGATTTGTAAAAAATTTATTATAAAAAAAAAGAGTATAATCTTTATTAATTTTCTAAATCTATAAAGAATGAATGAATGATATAAAAAAACTTAAAGTATGTACATTAAATAAATAAATAATAAATATTATTTATAATTATTTCTCCACAAGGAATGCTTTACCCTTTACGTAAATCTAAATAGCCTATTTCTATCTTAGCCTTTTTAGAGGAAGCTTTATAGACGGCTAAACAGACGACTGTTTAAAAATAAGACAAATCAAGAAAGGGTCTAGAAGTTTCATATCTTTATGACCAAAATATCATTGAGTTGATACCTCCGAATCCTTCAATTTCTAAATCGGCTCCTCGGATGATTTTAGGTACTATCCCTAAATCGTCGCCTATCCTTTGTATTTCCTGCAAAAAAATTATTTTATTTATTATATAGTTAATAAATACGGACTCGGGCCGAGTCGGGAGCTGCAAATTTCTAATTTGGACCAGTTTTCGGTGAAATTATTTTTTATAAAACATTAAATCAACTTCTTTCAAACTCAAATAAAAATTATGAATAAATAAAAAATGCAATATATTAATTATTCATACTTTTTTTAATTTGTGCTAAATTATGATTAAATTAAATTTTTCAGCTCTCTTTAATTCAAATTATTTTAAACGTCAGACGAGAGGTAATAGAATAAATTTTGTAGTAGTCTTACGATATGATAGTAATTAATATCAAAATTGCGATCATATATAACATTAGCACAAGAAGTCAATGATCATTCTGATCATATTTAAATTACAATTTTTCGATAATTATAATTTCGTATGTTCCATGAGATACCAATATAAATGGACTATGTATGAGTTAGAAATATAGGTAAATATGCCAACCTGAACGAATTCGTTAGTGCTCAGTACATTGCAAGGCATATCCACTATTACGGATGTCATTCTGGTGCCGAAGGTGGCTTGGTTCAGCATATAGATATCTTGCTCGGACAGAGTCCTAAATTTGACGGGACTGGCCTTGATCACGTTATCTTTTTTTGAGATATCTTCATTCGCTGTAGGAGAGTATTCTGCGATTAGAAATTGCACTATCACTTGATTTGGTTTTGAGACGTCCTCAGATTTTTCGCCTTGTATCGAAAAAAAATTGAAAGGTAATTATATTTTAAAATATTTAAAAGGTAATTCATATCTTCCGATTCTCTCATTAACATGGCAGATCTAATAAAGTAAATTCTTCTAATTAGTTTCAACTCTAATCCCTTAACCCATTCGTTGAAACAAAAACGAGATTATTCGTGGCGCGAGTACGAGCCCAAATTTCAAACTGTTTTATCTCAGTCATTAATTTGTTATTCGTCACGTCACGATATTTAAAAATATATATTTTAAAAAACGTTCATCCTACATTAAAAGATAACGCGGGAAATATTTTTTAAATCATGTACCCCAAGAAAATATTGTGTAAAATAAGAAAGAAATTATTTTAAAGCTCTTATTATAGATAGTAAAAAATAAAATAACTAGGAATATTACAAAAGTTTATTCTTTTACCATCTCCCATATCGTTTTCTAGACCGTTATTCTGTTCCACAGGTTCGATGTTCGCCCCGCTGTTCCCTTCGGCCGAATCGAAGTTCTCGCTCATAGCATCGGTTTGATTATCGGCGTTCGAACAGTCGATTTCAGCCGTAATTTTACCGCTACTTTTAGCACTGTAAGCTGGATACGAACGGGCTATGGCCAGAGTGTAGGACAGAATATGTCGATATTCGCAAACTACGACGCAGTGAAACCTATTAAGAGTTCCCGCCTTATTAGCCTTTCTCTTGATTTTAGGGCTCGATTTCGAATCTGAAATCGTGGCTAAGTTGATAGAGCCCTTAGGAGTAATGGCGCTTTCACGATTAACCTCGAGGTTAGCGTTGAGACTAGGAGAGCTAGGTTGGGCCTTAGAGGTATATCTTGAGAAAAAATTATTTAAATTAATATTTATAGATTTTAGCCCTTTACAAATAAAAATCAATAGTGTTGTTAAATGGCTCGATGTGAGTCGATTTTTAAAAACGACTAACTCAGTATTTTGGCCAGAAAAATATTGCCTAAGCCTCTAGAATTCGCTAATAGATGTCCAAACCTATGTTTCAATCTAAGAGCAATATTTAGGCTTGAGTAATATTTTTCTGAATAAGTCATTGAGTTAGCCGTTTTTAAAAATCTGCTCAAATCGAGCCGTTTAACAACACTAAAAATCAAACATTTTTTTAAAATACACGATTTCTTTTTCTCTACTAATATGCAAATGACCATAACAAATTCCTTCTTTTTTTTAATTTGATAGACATTTCATTTTCTAAGTTTTGAATAAAGTATGATAGATTTTTTTTTTAAAAAAATATATAAATATTAAGCATTATGATTACAAAATTACTTTTTATTTCATTTATTTGGTAAATTTAATTTAATAATTTAAGGAGGGTGCGGTATAAATTGTGATAAACTTTTTCATTACTTCTCAGTTTATTCGTTTTACTTTAATATTTGTCTACCTTCTCTTTAAATAGGCCTTCAGATATGACAAAATCTCATTGACAATGACAAGGGTAGGTTTTTTTTAAAAAATAAAACGTCCTTGTCCCCCTTTTTTCAGTGTCTTAACTGCTAGCAAAACGCCGCTCTTTATAATCTTTGTCCTTGCCATAGAAACGCGTTGAACCATTCGTTGCGCTAGTGAATCGACTTAACTACTCGAAAACCAATTCACAAAATTGGTTTATCTTGTATTGTAAATTGTTTGTGCAAGGGCTGCTACAAGAATTAATAACAAGTCATTGCAATTTGCTCCTATAGCTAACATACTCTTATACCCGCTGGCAGTAATAAAATATAGACCAGTTATATATAACCTTAAAATGAAGAATAAAATTAATATGTACGGCCCGTAAAACATTAAAGGAGCTAACCAAACCTTTATAATCCGGGTTAAACAGGTTCGTATAGGTTTTTTATTTCATAAATATTAAAATATTTGTCATATTATCTTTTTAAGCATAATTACCTCTAGACGATATTTTTATTTAAAAAAAATACCCAACAATTATATATAGTTACAAATTAAATTACTAATAATTTATAATGTAAAGTTTATTTGAACTTGAATTCAGCTTCGTTAACTCTTGATAGCACAGGTTAAAAAAAAATCATACTAAAGACTAGGTGGGATCTTTTGGGCTCTAATTTAGATATGCTATATCTTAGAATCAAATTAATTTGTAGCTTTCTTAATTTTTAACATAATATATTAAATAAACTCTAATTTAGTTATTTTTTATGTTTTATTTCAAAATTTTTATGACAGATTTTGACAAGAGTGTTAAGAAACTGAAAAATTATTTTAGATGAGGTCTATAAGACCCCAAGTTCTAAAAAAAACTGTTATAACTCAACCTAAAAATATCCCTCTACTAAAAGATTCAGGCAAAAAAATATAGAAAGAATTTTTTATTAAAATGACTGATGATCTGAAAAGACCCACCTGTGACTTGAGAGGGTAAAACGGCACTTGATTGATGGAAAAACGAAATATAAATAACTATAGCACCACGGATAAAGCCAAGAAAGAAAGCACTAACTTTATTAAATTTCGTTCAGTCTTCTTTCAAAGTGGAGTTAAAAACTTAGTATAACATTTGCCAACAAGATATTCTTCTATAAAAAAGGAAGGTAAAGCAAAAAAAAATAAGGGGTTTCACTGCGTGGCTATATCTTGATCCCTGATATCATACCACTAATTATTTCAACCATGAGGACGATATTTTTATGCAAATGAGAGATAGGAAAATTAAAATAGGTCACACAATACAAAACAAGATCAATTAGTTAGATATCACTATAAAAATTTTTGGCAGCATAGAATTGATTGATAAAAATACCGATAGTCTCTCATGTTGGGAAGTAAGAAATTTACAACAATCCAAACTCTATCTGATAGCAAGCTATAGCTATCATGCATGTACTAGCTACTGAGGTACCGGTCGAAAAATTATTTTCAGAATTGAAATATATTCCATCACTATTAGAGAATAAGGATTTAATTTAGATATTTTAATCATGCATTTGCAATCATAATTTTACATAAAAAAAATATAAAAATTGACCGTTAAAATTTTGGAGGATTATTTTATATCAGGTTTTGAAATAAACATCGTAAATTATCAAAAGCCATCGCCTTTTAAATGTAATGCATATAACATTAAAATGTAGAATAAAGATAAATATTTTGAGTTGAGATTTCTTCTATATAAAAAATTCGGGCCGCAACTAGCCACGGGCCGTGATCTAAATCTATTATATAAAATAGAGTAGGCAGAGTGAATAAAAATCGAGTATTTTAATTTTTCGGCTTGGTAGCGCGCGTAATGCAAAATAGAATAGTCTTTTTAATATTTTTGTAAATTTATTAATGATTGAAAAAAGATTAGGATCATTGAAAAAAAAAGCATCGCATCAAGAAAACGATCCCAAAACCTGAGACAAAAAAAGTTTTTGGAGCCCAAAAATTTTGCCAAACTATGGGGTCGGTTTGGACAGTTGTGGTTACTTGCCGTGGGAGGCAACATCAAAATTCCTCCTTCCCGGTCCAGAAATATTGGGAAATATCGGTTGGAACTCATGAGATTATGACTATTTTGGTCTTTATCACATTTCGAAGTGTTTAGGATAGCTTGAAAGAGCTAAAATATATATATATATATTAATGTATAAAATAAAATAAAATACAAAGAATGTATTTTTATATTTTAAATCAGTTGTTTTGATTTCGGGTTCGAAATATTTTCCCGCTTTTAATTCTAATTCTCTTTGAAAAAACACGTTTAAAAACGGGTTATTTACAAGAGTTCGTAACCGAACCCAGAACCCTCATTATAAATAACCGGAACCTCCCCTCTAAAAAAAGGAACATTTAATAGCTTTTGAAATTCCAGAAACCAATTTTTTAATAAAAATAGGAGCTCAAAATTTTCCGCGATTTATGTCAAGAGGGTTTATTCCATGTTAAAATTTTACTCGGGAACGGGATCAAGAAGCGGAAATGAATAAAATCTCTTCTTTTTTTTATATATTATTTAAATTAACCCACAAATAAAAATTAGTATTTCCATTTTAATTAAATTAAAAATGGTTTCCTAACAGATCGATCAAAAAATAATTAGATTTTCTCATTTTTGAAGTGGGAGGTGAGAAGGGTGAATAATTTCTCAAGAAGCGCCGAAGGAATGATAAGCAATATTCAAAACTAGTTTTCTCCGGTAGATAGTTCGATCTGGGTCCGAATCTAATGTGATCCGATCAGAATCCGTTTCGATCCGATTGGACTAGGGAGTCGCATTTTCTCGGACTCGGACCTCGACACATAATTTTTAATTATTACATATTTCTTAATCGTTCTCGAAAGAACTAGATTCGGACCTGGATAGGACCGCACAGGACTTAATTTTTATGATATTAGCGAAATTCGGTACTTTAATATATATATAAATTGTTATTGTTTACAATGATTTTCATAAAAAAAACAAGTGCTGATCCAATTTCCGTAAAATATTTGGAGATGCATCGTCATTTACGATAAATAAATTAAGAAGCAATATGTTAAATATTTAAAATCGATATTTTATTTTTTAAAAAAAAACTTAAAATAATTTAAAATAAATTGGACAATATTTTTAGAGAAATAAACTTTATAATTTAAAAAAATAATCTACATAAACTTAAACTCGATTTTGAGCCGATTTTTAAAAACGGCTAATTCAATATTTTGCCCGAAGATTTTGGTTATAAATGCCACAAAGATTTGGACATCTTGCGAAATCTCGAGGCTTAGGCAATATTTTTCTAGCCAAAATATTGAGCTACCCGTTTTTAAAAATTGGCTCAGATCGACCATTTAACAACAGTAATTTAAAAAATTGATAAAATGACTAAATCGTTCATTAAAAATTATCATTTTGAAACCGAAATACGATTTAAAGTAAGTTATAAATTTAAGAAAAGTTTTTTAAAAAATTTTTTGATCAATTTACATAAAAAAAAGTGATAATTTAGAAAAATTAAAATTATGAATAAATATGGGGACGAAAATTTTTAAAATGTTATTTTAATATAAATAAATATATATTCAAAAATAAATTAGCCTTTAAGGGAAAAGTGAAGTGCAATTTTTTTTTAAAAAATATTAAATCATACAAAATTGGGATCGATTATATAATAATTGATGATACTTGATAATAATTAGATCAAACAAGCAGCGTGAGAAAAAAATGATGAATGGAAAATCAAAATGGGCAAAAAATTATAATCATGATGAGCAAGAAAAGGAAATGAATATCAATGCAACAAGCCATAACTTGGCGACCCCAAGAATAGTTTAACTTTGATGGCACGGGGTTGCTGCCTCACAGCTCCTCCATTTGCATGGGCCTGGATACCAAACATAAATATTAAATAAAATGGTTCATATCTTAAATAATTAAAAAATAAAAACAAAAATTGGGAAATCTCGCTTAAATCTCCTAGATTTTGAAATTTATATTAGTAGATGTTAGAGAATTAAACACTTGTATTTAAAAATTGAGTTTTTTTTAAAAAAATCGCTAAAAATGAGGGGAATATCTTTAATATTCCCAAATATTGTTCCTAATTCTGGGAATAATTATTATTTCCTCTTTTTAGAGATTTTTTTTTAAAAACTCAATTTAAACGCAGACTTTCTAATATCTATTATTATTTTCAATATTATTTTTAAAATTTTCTAGAAGATACTAAAGCGAGATTCCAAATTTTTAGCAATTTAGGACCTATCCCAACAAAATGAATAATCAAAATTACCATTTTATTTAAGAATGAAATGTAATTTTAAATAATTTTGAAAAAAGAGAAATAAGAATTTGGTTAATTAGAAAATATGCTATCCCTGATCAATGATCTGCAAAGCCATTCCCTCAGTCAATATGTAACTTCAATTTTTCAATAATGAACTTATCCAAGCCAGTATTCGACTTAATTGCTCCATCATCTATCCTCTTACTTGTTCAGGTTGTAATTCATCCGTAGACATGAAGGGGAAACATAACTTATATTGTAGTTCAATTGACCGATTCATTAGGCATACTTAATCATCTAACAAAACCTAAATACCTTCAAAATTAGAACCTCCTGATCTTTTTAGATCAGAAAGTAAACTCCCTGATGAGATTAGTCAATTTCTGGAAAAGGGGCCAATTACAAGTATAGAAGGATTCTTTTATTGATCCTTAGCCCGCTTCAACCAAGCTCTCAATATCGTGAACCATAAAAAACAAATAAGTAAAGTTACAGAAGAACCTTGTGAAGGTTTATTTCCTCCAACAAAGACTTGCCATAGCAATATTAAAAGCTAATTAAACTAGCTTTAATGGAAGTCTTTTAAAAGATTCTTATTAATTCTTATATTTGATTTTTTTTAAAGTGTTTTAATTTTTAATGGATATTGTCTTTGTAGCTTTTCAAATGTTATATTATTTTTATAAAAATTGAAATTATTTATATAAGATTAAATATATATATATTTAAATAAAGTTATTTATCTTTTATGTTAAAAGTCATTTTCAAAATTTTTGTATTCATATAAAAAATAGAATAATGATGCAATAAATATTTTTCAAATATAATTTAATTATCAGATGAATTATTTTTTTTAAAGTATACAAAAAGGTATATTAAATTCCTTGTAACTTTCAAATATAATTTAATTATCAGATGAATTATTTTTTTTAAAGTATACAAAAAGGTATATTGAATTCCTTGTAACTTTCAAAAATAATTTAATTATCAGGTGAATTATTTTTTTTGAAAGTATACAAGAAGGTATATTGAATTCCTTGTAACAAAAAAATGTTTACTTTGATATTTAGTTATAATACATGATTGATTATTTAATTATACTAAAGTGAATCAGAAAATTTGTTCTATTGATATGAATTAGGAATATACCTATATATTGATGAGATAATTCAGAAATTATTAATTTGATACAACATTAGGTTGCAAATATTTTTCTAAAATATCTTTACGAAATTTTTTTGTGATTTTTATAGCTAAAAAATCTTTCATGATGAAATGTCAATTAATATAAAAAAATTTTTGATCTTTAAAAAAAATTTTCAAAAATCTTTGACTTTTTTTCAAACTCTAGGGTTGAAATTATATTTGAATTTTGATATGAATTGAATAATATATCTACTTGATTTTGTCTTTTAGTTTCAATATTATAAATTCAAAAAAATTGGAAAATATTTTAATTTTATAACAAAATATATAAATTAATTATGGTAAGGCTCAAACAAAGCAACTATTAGATTGTGGAATGCTGGTTCAAATTTAGAAAATAATCAAAAAAAAAATTTTTATAATTAATTTTCAAAGCTAAGACTGATTTGGATCAGACTTAGGTGGGTTGAATAATCAAAAAGGACAATTGTAATTAGTCTAACCAGATCAGAAGTATGGTCAAAATCTTTAAATTTAAAAAAAAAGGAATAAAAATAAATATTTTTGTCACTTTAAATTGTAATATATTAGTTTCACAAGAAAGTTGAGATTAAATGATACCAATTTAAGCTCAAGAAAAAAATTAATATAAATGAAGTTGATATAATCTTACCAAGATGATAGAAATATATATAAAGAATACAGAGATGATCTATATAGATAAGGAGTGAATTATATAAATCAAATTTATTGTGTAAATTAATTTTAAATAAATTATTACATTATAGTATAAAAAATAATTCTGAAATATATTTTAAATTATAATAATTGACTGTAATTTATTTTATAAATTACTAAAAATAATTTATTACATCTTTAGAAACTTTTGGTTCCAATTTAATTTTAACATCATCATATTTTAATGCTGATAGATATTGTGGTTGCCCAGCTATAAGTAAGGAATCTTTATCCCAATCACTGACTAGCAATTTTGTCGAAAATCTTATATTTACGCGTTTCATTTTAAAATAGATAGACCGTACCCAAAAATCAATATCACATATGATTTAAAATATTTATGAAAAGTGGTAATAAATACTGATATATATATATAACATAATTTAAATATTAACTATACTTAATTTTAATTTCTATGCCAAATGTTTAGACAAAATTTATTTTATAAATCATAGTTTTATTTTTCTTATTATTTATTTATTAGTATTTTGGCGATTAACATGAATGTATATAGATAGATGACAGAAAAAATTGAATATTATACTTTAAGGTAGTTTATGTAAGGTCTCCAAAAAGGGGAATTATAAATCAATTGATATATTCAAATCTCAGGTGGAGCCTCCTTTTTTTTCTAGTCAACATACATAGTTTTAAGTGAGTTTGAGATTGGCATTTATATAACCCATCAAAATGTAATTAGGAACACAAAAGTATAATTATTTATTATAATTTGTATTCATTTATGTATAATGCTTTTGTTATATATCTTAATAAAGTTTGTTTTTAATATAATCATTTTGTCTGTCTGACATCAGCGGGGGGCAAGGGGAAATCCCCCTCCTTCAGAAATTTATCACTTTTTGTAAATATTATTTTTAGCTAATAAAAAATATTCCCCTAATCCTCCCTCCACTCCCTGACCTTTAAAAATGTATGCATATATCTTAAAAAATAATTTGAAAGAAAGAATGTAAAAGTTGATATTTTTTTATAAAACTATTCATCATAATTTATACATTTTTGGGAAAATAAATTTATAAATACATAAAATAAACCAAAAATATTTTTTTAATAAATGGAATATAAGCCAAAGATCTGTCTTAAGACAAAAGTGAAATGCATTATAATTATTAATAATAAATCCATAAAATTACTAAATAATATAATATATCTATTATAAATTTTTATAAAGTGAGTAATTTTAATTTTATTTATCTTAATAAGAGTAAAATTTATAAAACTATTGATAAATAATCATAAATTTAATAAAAATATTAAAGCACAATACAAACTGTGGAATATTATATGTTGTAGATTTACATTATATCTAATTTTATCAATTATCATATGGCAATCAAGTAATTTATATATATATCGAATTATATATTACAGAAATCTATAAAATATTGATAAGGGCATCAGAAAATATCTTTTAAAGACATTGTGGGATTAATAATATTTTGAAATCAAGCCCAGAGATATTAAATTTATAATTAATGAAGAGGAAATATCTGATTTACCAATTAGTTAACAGGTAAAATATATTACTTTATAAAAAGAATAACATAAGACTAACATTTAACATGGAAAAAATATCCAAGCATCCAAGACTAACATTTAACATTAAAAAATCCCAATATAGGTTCAAGAAAAAAGCATCCAAGATCTTAATATTTAAAAAGAATTTCTTTAACCCACCTTCCCTAATAATTTTGAAACCAAGCCCAGAGATATTAAATTTATAATTAATGAAGAGGAAATCTCTAATTTACCAATTATTCTACAGGTAAAATATATTACTTTATAAAAATAATAACATAATTAACATTAAAAAATCCCAATATAATTTTGAGAAATATTATACTTGATAATTAAGAGAATGTTCTATAAAAATATTTTCTATAAAAAATCAAATCAAATCAATAAAAAAATAAAAATAAGTACGTACCGTTGACATGACGTAGCGATGACATGACGTCACGATGACATGACGTCACGATGACATGACGTCACGATGACGTAGTGAGGACATCGGAAAATTATAATATAGATGAAGATTAAATTTTAATATCAATTTTTACTTAAAATAAATAGATGGCGTTAAATAATCGAATGCAAATTGTTGCTATATTTATTATCAAGAGCATTGATTAGTAAAATTTGTTAAATTATTAAGTGTAATATATTCTCTAACTGTCAAATATGTCTGTAAAAGTGGAATTTTACCTAATATTTTGTATAATAGAGGAATATCAACTATAGGTCTACTACTTATTTTTTATAAATAAATTCTTATACTTGTTTGGAATAATTTATTACCATGATTTATTAATTTATATACAAATATATTTTATCTAATCTAATAAAAATATTTGCATACATTTGAGATTTGACTATTTAACTGAACTAGAAAAAAGAAATATTTCTTATACATTAATAATGATTATAAATTATACTCGATGCTAATAAATTATATGGTTATTATTAAAATATTTAATTGCTACTAATATAAAATCATAGGATTTTATAGTTAGGATTTTATAGTTAGATAGTATAAATTAAATTGATGATTTATTTTGAATTTTGTCACGTGTAGGGGGATTGTCAAATAGTAAAATTAATAAAGAAAACAAATATAACGAGCAATCTTAAAAATTTAGGCTAAAAAATTTCACTCAAAATGAATGTGCTAAAAGATCTGCTCACGCTAAATCAAAAGAAGACATTATCAAATACAATGCAAATAAAATATATTGTATATCAAATAAACGAGCAAAGATACCATCTTTTTATAAATTAATTTTATATTTTTATTGTTATATATAACAGCCATTTTATAAATTTTATACATTCTTATTTTGCATAGATTTATGTATACATATATAATTTTACTCCTTATTTTAATTAATAAAATTATTTGAAAATGGTTGAACATAATCTCACTTTTTGCTAAACTAAAATATAAAAGATGGTAAAATGATATTTTACTAAATGAAAATCTTGCTAAATTAGATAATTGTCTTAGTTGGGCAAATATCTTGGTCCCATTATGGCTGTAAATTAAACAGGCTTGACTGTGTATAAAAAAGCGAAAACATAATTAATAACTTTTTTAAATAACTCCACATAAGCAAGCCTGTACTAGGCAGACCTAAAGTTCTTTAATAAAATTTGAGGGAAAGCAGTACTCATTGATGTTTCTACTATATCTTGCCTATACCTAAGGTCCAGGGTATAGATTTCTAAGACGAAAAGGTGAGGTTAGGGTAGGGTAGGGGGTTACGCAAGATCTTCAATGAACTGGGAGTAGGAAGAGGTTAGTTTTGTTTTTGATTTTTGCTTCTTTGTCTAAATTTATTTGATAGAAGTGGGTATAAATTTAATTTAGAGGGGTGTCAAAGCTTTTTCTTTTAAGAACTAAAGTCAATCACCGGCAACGCATACTGTGATGATAAAATCAACACCTATTTAGCATATACTCGTACTTTTAGGGTGTAAATAAACAAATTAAAATTTTAATGCCCAAAGGTGTAAAAAGTAAAAAAATTGTTTAAAAAAGAGAACATGGAAAGTGGATATAATCGTATCAGGTCAATCCAGCGTAACTTTTATCGCTAATGACGTTTAACACGGAAGAATTTTATGCCTAGGTAATATTGCGAAACCAATTCCGAGATTTTTTTTCCTCAAAAAATTATAGCGAAGGCAATATCGCGAATATATTTCCACGAAAATTTTATAGATAATACATTATAGCGAAACTTTTATATCGTGAACCCTTTAGAGCGAATTTTCTACCGCGAATTTATTTGCGCGAAGTCATTATCCCCAGCACATTACCGAGAAATACGAATTTATTTAGTTAAAGGAGAACAACATATTTAATATCAATTTGCCCACCAAAGTTCCTTATAAGGTAAACCCAAAATGTTTTAAGGATATTTTGTTACTTATAATTAAGCATGCAACCTTTATCTGATGCAGAATTGTTAAACTCTACTTTTAAAAGTAGGCGTTATTGTAATTTGTCAAAAAATGTAGCGTGTTACCGTTATGACAAACCATCAAAAAAAGTAGGGCGCTATTAACTACTATTTTTTTAAAGTAACTTTGGCTAATATTAGGTTACCATTATAAAAAAATTTAGAAATAAATTTATTTTAATTTTTGCTTATGATGTAATTGTATAGTATAAATACATGTAAATCAAAATTTATATATTTAAATATTGTTAGTTATTGATTATAAAAAATTTTACGTAAAAAGATTAAAATTAATGTAATAAAAATTACTTTTTATGGTGATATTTATTTTTTGTTGCATTTTAATAATAAAATCATTCTATACTATCATCCCCAAGTCTGCGATGATCAGAAAGTATAAGTCTCGCCTTGCTAAATAATCTATTAACACTAGCACTTGAGGGAGGCTGTATTTAATATTATATATTTTCTTTAAATATAAAAAAAATGATCAAAAATACTCATTTGAGTATATTTAGAATTAGAAAAATAGTCTAGGAAATTTTCTATCATTTTCTATTTCAAAAAAAAGTAGTGGAAGTCGTTTTTTTGGTTCTAATTAGGCATTTTTATCTACTATCTTAATCATTAGCGTCTGGCGACAAAACATTGTACCATAGGAAAGTGATAGGGTAATCAACCAATGACATTGGCTGAACTGTATCAATTATAAAGTCGACAATAACTTTATCAGCCAGTTTCTGAGAAATATTGGCATGTACGATATTAATAATCAATTTAGTTTAAATTTAATTGGTCTTCTTGGATGTAGTATCCTTTATACAAAGTTATTAAGATATCCATTTGAAACTGTTGGCATGAACCTTACAAAATAAAAATACTATTAAATGACATTTATCTTTAGGTTATTCTTAAAGTTATAGCTACTAGATATATTTGAGAATATATATTTTTTTTATATTTATAACAAATAAATTTGTAGCCACCTTTTGTTTTTACATTAATTTGAAAATTTTTCTCAAATTTTTTAAATGGGAAATTTGTATTATTGTTATCAAGAATTATTTCTTCCAGGGTACCTTCCACTTCAGTAATATTATAATTGTCTAATTCACTTACATCATTTTTGATATCCATTTGCGGATCTTTTAAATAATTTGCAGTAGATGATTTAGGTTTATAATACAAATTGAAAATAATTATTTCAATTTCAAAATTATATAATAAATCATAAAAATTATAATTAATTATGATATAATTTTTAAATTTTCATGTTCATAATTACATTATTATGTTTTTGA